TCCATCAAGCTGTATGATAAACGTGATAATTTCAATTTCCCTATTGTGAATTTTCCATTTCTGGATAGCAATATCCCGTCATCACCAACCTATGGTATTTACATGTTACATGTGCAAGAAGTCTTCAACTGACTGACAAACTCGTAACACAAGGCTTCAAAAGATTCAAGTTGATGAACATTATTGGGAAATTTTATGGTCGCCATAGTAATCTCATTGATAAATATTCTATTTTTTTGTGCGACATGAAGCTTGACTTATTTGATGTTCGTTAGTTTACCTGTTGGTTCCGTTGTTATATATCTGTTTCTCATTTAAGAACGTGGCATTACTGAGATTAAACAAGGTTTAAATGGCTGGTGTCGTCGATGAAGCAGAAGACGCATACTCTTCCGGAACACATGGTCTTGTTCCCCTGAATTTGAATTGTAATTATGTTGCCATGTTGGTATTTTCTTGATGTTCTTTATGTGTAATCGGCGAGTGTGTGACACCATTTTGTAATCTAAAAGTCTTAATAGGTCATATTACACTTGAGTCGTATTACACAAGTGTAACACGGGAAAATCCACACTGAATCACAACGCATCTTTCACCGTTTCAAGCGATCATATTTGCAGCAATAACGTTACACTCCAATGGAACGTGACGCGCATATAGTGTATGTTATTGTCTTTACACTTAATCTGTCAGTTAACTCTATATTGCATTCCTTTTCTGATAAAACAAAATCGACTAAAATCTTATTATCTTTGTTCAGCATAGAACCTATTCTCTCCTTCAATCTCCGTTTACATATGCAATTATACCAGTTTTCCTTATTAAATATTCTTTAAGGTTCAGTTTCCTCTGTCAGAGTTGCCTTTACATTTAAGTAACGCCTCCCAGTACTGTTTAGTACTGACTGTCTTTGCTAGGCATCGCCGAGTTCCTCTTCTCCTCACTAGGCGTCGTTTAGCTCCTGTTCTCTCCGATAGGTGGCGTTTAGTGTTTTGAGTTTTCATGTAAATATAGCTAGTCATCGTGAACATCGCTTGCCTCTGTAAGAACGCGATCTCTCAACTTGGCTTTGTATACTTGAGTATCTGTATTTTGAAGAAATCTTAGTCCACTGTCCCTTCCCTAAGATTTTATGAACACATATATCTGACACTTGTTTTCTCTACAATAGTTAGTTCAGATTCTTGCTCTCCCTCCCCTCGGTAATCTTTGTCTGTTGTTTCAGATAACTTCGTGGGGTGCATTTTCCCGCTTCACCACGGGAAGCAAATGACAGTTTTCTCCGCGATATTTCAGCGTGTCTGCTAAACGTCGTTTAGATATCTTGTTCTCTGTTCGGCGATCATGATCACGTACAGTCCACTAGACACCGTTTAGACACCTAGTTTCTCTGTTTGCCGATCATGAACACATGTACAGTCCACTAGACACCGTTTAGACACCTAGTTTCTCTGTTTGCCGATCATGAACACGTACAGTCCACTAGACACCGTGTAGACACCTAGTTTCTCTGTTTGGCGATCATGAACACGTACAGTCCACTAGACACCGTGTAGACACCTAGTTTCTCTGTTTGGCGATCATGAACACGTACAGTCCACTAGACACCGTTAAGACACCTAGTTTCTCTGTTTGCCGATCATGAACACGTACAGTCCACTAGACACCGTTTAGACCCCAAGTTTCTCTGTTTGCCGATAATGAACACATGTACAGTCCACTAGACACGTTTAGACACCTAGTTTCTCTGTTTGCCGATCATGATCACGTACAGTCCACTAGACACCGTTTAGACACCTAGTTTCTCTGTTTGGCGATCATGAACACGTACAGTCCACTAGACACCGTTTAGCCACCTAGTTTCTCTGTTTGCCGATCATGAACATGTACAGTCCACTAGACACCGTTTAGACACCTAGTTTCTCTGTTTGCCGATCATGAACACGTACAGTCCACTAGACACCGTTTAGACACCTAGTTTCTCTGTTTGGCGATCATGAACACGTACAGTCCACTAGACACCGTTTAGACACCTAGTTTCTCTGTTTGCCGATCATGACCACGTACAGTCCACTAGATGTCGTTGTTTTATTCTGTTTTATGACAAGAGTCTTTGATCTTTTCATCACATTTATTATTTTACGCGTTCCCTTCGCTAAATATAGTTTTTTCACACAAGTGCGTGTCATTTTGTATCGACACTCTCCTCTAGATAGCGTTAGTACCGCACCTGGTTGATTGGTACCTTTGCTTTCCGCTAGATGTCACGATGTACTCGACCAGGGTTTGTTTTGTACTTTGACTTTCCGCTAGATGGCGTGAGTATTCCACCAAGCGTCTCTTTGTACCTGTTATACGTCCACTCTCCAACAGATGACTTGCGAACTCCGACAGCCTGTGCTTTGTACTATTACTTCCCGCTGTGTGTCATAAGTTCTCCGCTAGGCGTTTTTTACCTCTCCTCCCCGCTGTGTGTCATAAGTACTATCGCCAGACTTTGTTTTGTACCTCTGATTGTGCCTCTACACCCCGCTAGATGGCGTTACAATTTACCACGGATCAATGTGTACCTCTACTCTCCGCTAGATGGCGTTACAATTTTACAATGGATTATTTCGTGTCCCTACTCTCCGCCCGATGGCGTTACTTTTCTACAAGGGATTATTTCGTATCCCTACCCTCCGCTAGACGGCGTTACTATTCTACAAGGGATCATTTTGTACCCCTTCTCTCCGCTAGATGGCGTTACTATTCTACAAGGGATTATTTCGTGTCCCTACTCTCCGCTAGATGGCGTTACTATTCTACAAGGATCATTTGTACCCTATTCTCCGCTTGATGGCGTTACTATTCTACAAGGGATTATTTCGTGTCCCTACTCTCCGCTAGATGGCGTCACTATTCTACAAGGGATCATTGTGTACCCCTTCTCTCCGCTAGATGGCGTTACTATTCTACAAAGGATCATTGTTTACCGCTTCTCTCCGCTAGACGGCGTTACTATTCTACAAGGGATCATTTTGTACCCCTTCTCTCCGCTAGACGGCGTTACTATTCTACAAGGGATCGTTTTGTACCCTTCTCTCCGCTAGACGGCGTTACTATTCTACAAGGGATCATTTTGTTCCCCCTTCTCTCCGCTTAAATCACCGTGTTCAGTGATACAATTACGTGTATCGATAAAATCGTTTTGTTTGTTTCATCTACAAAGCGGTCGATGTTACAATTGAACATAACTCCACTCTTTTAAAGAACCAATCTTGTTTGAATAATGAAAACCCCAGAGTTATCATAAAATGTTTTAATTAATTACCAGAACCAAAAGATATCACGGAATCTGTAATAAATGATTAAAGCCAATGTTTATCAAGAAACCCTTTATAAATTACCAATCCGAGTGTTATTACAAAATTATTAATCACTTTTTTGCCCATTGCGATCTACATTTTGACTCAGAAGCGATATTTGAAAAATAGGCTGTTTCGACTAGTCAAATCACAGGTCCCCGTCTTAACATGGAAACTTTGCATGTGTGTGTAAATCTATACGACATCATACCAATACAAAAAAAACGAGACAGGAATTGTATCGTGGGCGATATCTTCATGATTTTAAAATAAAACTTAAGGAGAATCTGTCATGTTATACATCATCGAAAAATTCCTAGCGCAAGAATGACTACGACAGAAAGACCAAGGCGCAGAACACACGATAAGATGAAAAATAAGAGAAGTGAGATGACATAGATTACGACCATACACCCGAGGTAAAGAAACAGAGACGTGATGTGACTATAGGGGCGAGATGTAACGATGGGAACGAGATGTGACTATAGGGGCGAGATGTAACGATGGGAACGAGATGTGACTATAGGGGCGAGATGTAACGATGGGAACGAGATGTGGCGTAGGGACGAGGTGTGACGATAGGGGCGAGATATGACGTAGGGACGAGGTGTGACTATTGGGGCGAGATGTAACGATGGGAGCGAGATGTGACGTAGGGACGAGATGTAACTATGGGAACGAGATGTGACTTAGCGAAGAGGTGTGACTATAGGGGCGAGATGTAACGATGGGAACGAGATGTGACGTAGGGACGAGATGTGACGATAGGGGCGAGATATGACGATAGGGTCGAGATATGACGAGATGTGACGATAGGTATCATACACCGAATGAAATAAGGCAGTAGACACGTGATTTGGCAATAGAAACGAGATGTGACTTAGGGGACGATATGGTACGATAGAGGACGAAATGTTACGTTAGAAGACTAGATGTGACGATAGGGGACGAAATGCTACGATAGGGGACGAGATGTGACGATAGGGGACGAAATGTTACGATAGAGAAGATATGTGACGATAGGGGACGAATGTTACGATAGGAGAAGATATGTGACGATAGATGACGAAATGTTACGATAGTGGACGAGATGTAACGATAGGGGACGAAATGTTACGATAGAGGACGAAATGTTACGTTAGAAGACTAGATGTGACGATAGGGGACGAAATGCTACGATAGGGGACGAGATGTGACGATAGGGGACGAAATGTTACGATAGAGAAGATATGTGACGATAGGGGACGAATGTTACGATAGGAGAAGATATGTGACGATAGATGACGAAATGTTACGATAGTGGACGAGATGTAACGATAGGGGACGAAATGTTACGAGAATAGACGAAATGTGACGATAGGGGACGAAATGTTACGATAGTGGACGAGATGTAACGATAGGGGACGAAATGTTACGAGAGTAGACGTAATGTGACGATAGGGGACGAAATGTTACGATAGGTATCATACACCGAGATGAAATAAGGCCGTAGGCAAGTGATAAGACAATAGGGACGAGAGAACTGGATAGGGACGATGTCAGCTGGGGAAGATAAGGATATAAGAGATCATAAAGCGATAGGGGTGATATGAGAAAAGACAAAAAGATGAAACAACAAGAATAAAAAAAGATAAGATGAACGGTGAGACTTACTTTGTAAACAGCTTTTCCTGATGAGTCCGTCGTCATCTGAACACAGTGCTTCCACCAGACGTAGATATGTGGTGTCGGATATCGCTCGCCTCTGTGTGGCTGATACTGTAACATAGGGTCAAAGGTCACGTAAATTAACACATACCGCAAGGTCAGCTCACAACGACAAAGCATCCTATATCACCCTCACGTCACCACACACCATCACACCACGACTAAATATATCACAGCACCATCACACCACGACTAAATATATCACAGCACCATCACATCACGACTAAATATATCACAGCACCATCACACCACGACTAAATATATCACAGCACCATCACACCACGACTAAATATATCACAGCACCGTCACACCACGACTAAATATATCACAGCACCATCACACCACGACTAAATAAATCGCTTACAGCAAATCTTGCATAAAATATTGCTTCTCGATCCAATCCTCGTTAATATCCTCCTACGTAGGAATATTAAGATATATGGTATCAAAGTGTAATTAAGAGATAGAAGACACCTTCAAACAAGAAAAACACTATGATAAATGGTATATTAGCGAGGATACCACGTGTGTGGTGTGGTAGGGCCAGTGTCTCCTGCTTCAAAGACCTGAAACATAATCTAATGTGTAGTTCTCAAACTGAGAACCAAGCAAAAACCATCATATAACAAAGGGTTTACTGTTCCTAATTGTAGTATGGTGGCTACCACAACAGTGCGTTACAGTGCTACCAAGCAGACAACGATACTTGGAGTGAAGCCAGTGAAACACAACACAATAATGTTTAGAATTGTTATTGACAGCTGATGAAAACACGACAGTCTATAATACGACAGTAAACAAAATTTATGTTAGGTGAGACCACATTTTTGTTTATATCATGTCATTAACTATATATATCGATCTTCTTAGCCGCCCAGGCCCACGAGGGAGAATTCATTGCATGGTTATGACGTAATTTCTTATTATAAAAGAACTATTGATAGCGACATGTCATGATTTAGTCCGTATTGTCGATAATTCATAAAATATTGTTATTTAATCTGACCGCTCGGTAAACACCGCAGAGATGCTAGGGTGGGGGTGAAAATTCGGGAGTTAATATCGGGCGCCAATTATAGATACAAGATTTTTGGGTTTCTGTTCATTTTGATATCTTTAGGTTGATATTATTTATCCGAAATGTCAGTATTAAGAACGACCATGTATGGATGTTGGTGTAGATTTGGCAGTCTTCACCACGGCATATTCTGTGAAAGTGGGTTTTGTCATTTTCATGTTTCAAGTTTTTTGCGTTTTTGCCAAAAAGTTGATGTCAAATGGATGCATGTTTTGTCGGAATTTTTTTTTATTGTTTTGCTTTATTTTCTTGTTTTAGCATTTATTTCCTCCTCAAAATTTGCGAAAAATCGAACCCGCCGAGAATAAGAAAACACAATATATTCTCAGAAAAGAAACCGTTCGACAGAAACGGTTACGCTTTCAAAGGAAAAATGCAATTTTTTATACGTCTTTGAAATTATAAATCATGTATTTTTCCGCTCAAACTAGTAAAAAAATTAAATTGTTCATAATGTGAGATTTTCAAAACCACAGAATATTTGAAACACACAAACATATACATCTATAAAGTTTATTTGGTACAGTTCATTCAGCATCAGCAACAGCTTTGGATATCATCTTCAGAGAACACTGAACAGCATTAGGCAACGTTACACACCCAGATCAAGTTAATTATAAAGAGAAAAATAAATAACCAGCCAAATATGTCTTAAATATTTTATTTGAGTAGATATAGGATCAGCGTGTCTCTCATGTCTCTCCGTGTTCTTTCAATTGATAGCCTTACATTTTTACGCCTGATTTTATCAAGCACACGATTATATAGGAAACGTTATTACCGACAGCCCATGAAAATGTTTCTGTAATACATCCAATTAGACCCAACCTTGTACACGTGAAAAAAAACCCTCTTATCATTATCCAATCAGCTTGCTTGAGATGGTCGTCACATCACGTGGTGCATAGTACATTACATCCGGTCCACAAATCTATTATTATATACTAGAAAAGACTGACTCAGTCGAAAGGCTTTGTTTTAGTTTTGGTGTCTAGGAACATAAAGCCTGACCGTATGATTATTCTGAATATCAACAATTGACCGCTGGGCTGATGTCGGCTCTTTGGCAACTACAAAGGATTACATGGAAGTAATAGACAGGAGAGTTCTTTTTATATTGTAGTAAAGAGCTCAAATGTGTCCAAATCATCGGTAACAAGGTGCCTATAAAACCTCGGCTTTTGTTTGGAAGAAGAGCAGTATATCGGAATAAAATCCTTGGTTGTGAATGTGACTATATCTTCCATTTGTTCTCACTGTAACCAGTAGTCTCATTGCATAGTAGTAACAGACTAATCTTTTACCAAGCCGCCCGGATGTGAAAAGGTATGGGTCACCTACCTGACCACGTGGGATTTCCCCGGGTACTCCGGTTCCTTAAAACATTAAGCCCCCCGCACATTTAGCCATGTCTACGAGACTGATTTATATAACGCTTATTTAAAACGCTTGTACAATAGTTGTTGTAAAATAAATAAGGTGCTGCGTTAGTATATATATGTGTATGTGTGTGGGGGTGTGGGTGGGTAGGAGTGGGGGTGAGGGTGTGGGTGGGTGGGGGTGCGTGGGTGTGGGTGTGTGTGTCTGTTTGTTTTTTTGTGTGTGGGGGGGGTGTGTGTGTGGGGGTGTTTGTTTGTTTGTGTGGGTGTGTGTGTCTGTTTGTTTGTGTGTGGGTGGGTGTGGATGTGGGTGTGGGTGGGTGTGTGTTACACTTTACTGTGATCTGTACATCATCTCGATAAATGTGTGTCTTGAATTATTTTATTGCAATGTCAACGCATTTGATAATAGAAAAAAAGACTGCTGAAAGCAAACAGTAGCATTTAGATTTGTCATTCATTGATCCGAAATCTGTAGGGCTCTAATCTATTATACGTGTACAGAAAAGGAGAAGAATATTGTTGACATATGATTGTACTTTTTCACACTCGCCCTATCAAACTTTTCCTTCGGTATTCAATGTCAATTATATTCATGATAAGTTCTGATCTGTTTTGACAAGACTTTAGAATTCGATCAAACATTGCACGAACTATGACTGTCCAATTTATAACAGAAAACGGCTCTTCTAGAAAAGGTCTAGGTCTGCTATCAATATAGATCTACATCAATCAAGGTTACAAAGAGAAAGCAAAGGTCATATGACGTCACATTAGAGGACACCCAAGGTCAAACAATGATATGACAGTTTAGACCATATGACAGGATAAAAGATGATGATTAGGTCAAATGATTTCATATATTTACAGCAAAAAATTGAATTGACCACTTATGTACCCACATATGCACCAATGTGTTGCATTTCTACGATGTAACCTCACAAGTAATATAAACATACTGGGGTTACCTTCTCTTACAAAGAAAGAAATTTTACAAGATAAATATTAGCATTGAACAACTTTTAGTTGGAATTCATTGGTATATGAATACCAACAGGATAAAACGAATTCATCGTGGAGTGCTGACCACTTCATTGGATTTACCTTTATCCGAATGTCATTCATAAGCCCATGAACGACAACTGAAAATAGTTCAATGCTTAAATGACGTAACACAAGGACTACAGCCGAGGTAAAATTGTTGCTACCACAATAAGTGTTTATTATTCAACTCTCAAGGCATAGATCATTCCAACTATTGTTAAAACATCCTTGTTATACCACATGTGGTACAATAATTTTGATTGGCTGACATGGTGAACTTTGACCGAAATAGCGTTTCACGCGCAACAAGTAGCTTATGGCTGCTGTTGTAATAATTTGATTTTCATTTGGGTTTCTAACTTTTTTTGCTTTGAAGATAATAAATCAATTCATATCTTGTGTTAATTTGTGATAAGTTGCAATACTGCCCTTTTTTCTGGAATAAAAAGCAGTTTTACATATCAATTAGAGGCAATTTACTAAAGATCATAACATAAAGCCCCGATGATATTAACAAAACACATGTGGGTACAGAACAGTAGAAACAGGTCACATAAACTCGTGGTTTTTATAGGTATATAAGTATATCTTTCCCCTTCCTTCGTTATTTTCCAAAAGTAAAAAAAAAAAATCTCTTTGTTTATCTAACGAAGATGACGTCACAACGGAGCCGACTGCTGGAGTCGAACTCGTGACCATATTTCAGCTCTTTAGAACGATGTGTCTGTCTGTCTGTCTGTCTGTCTGGTTGACCCTGTTAAGGTAGGTACAATTACATCGCCTGTATACTGGTTATTACTGCTGTGATTAGTGATATTTAACCTGTGTATGTTGGCTATCGCTCCCTAGAGTTAGAACCAATCTCGTGAAGTCTCGACTGATTACGTAGTAAATCAAGAGAGTTGGGCGAGACTTCCGACAGATATTAATTTGCAAGTTCATGCAATGTGCTCGATAAAGGGTTTACAGGTATCGAGGGACTGCGGCACATGTCAGCACGTGGCAGCTTCACCCGTGACACAGGAAGTCCAGACAGCGGTACAGGACACCCCATGGTGATGTACTGAAGAGGGCCTGACCATGTCAGACATTACTCACGGACTACTTCTCATTGCCAATATTTACAGTCGGTGTATATAGAATATTTAACTGTATCCCTGTTTGATATACACATTACAAGCTTATGCCAGCATATCTTTTTATATGAATGAAATTTATATACGTATATAATTATCAAATTTTATTTTCATGACATTTTTAAAAGGAAAAATGAACGATACCAGAGCCAGTCCAAAAATGAAATAAAACTGTGTTTTAAAAGGATCGGGAAATATTATCGCGTTCTTTGACGTCAGATTTTTCATCATTTTCTCCCAATTTGCATTGCGGTACCCCAATAATAATAATAATAATAAACCTTGTGTATTGTGACTGTTAAAGAACGACAACTGTGTTAGAGATTGATAATTCTTAAACTTAACAACAAGATGACGTCATTTTGACTAGGCTGTCTGACGTTGTAATCTACTGTTATGTGTGTTATCTGATGATAATCACTTACATAACGTTCTTATGTACCCAATCAGAGTAAAACAGCACACCGACATTATTTCCTCGAAAACCAACTTATTCGACCTTCGCTCCATTACTAGGAAATCGGCGAGTTTCACTAACTAGAAAGCGTCGCTCTGATAAATCAGACCTACGAAAGTAATTTCCCGCTGAAAAATAGGGTAATGATTAGTTGTATAAATCAGCCCTTTTATTAAATTGATAAATTCTTATATTTCACTGACAAAAGTGTAATAGAATTAGTATATAGATAATACGAGGTCAGTGTCTTGAAATAAAAGTTGTATTTTGGCGAGGGCGAAGAAGGACAAAAGTGGCGAGCCAAAATACAGCTTTTATTTTAAGATACTGACCATGTATTCTATTTATCCTGCAACATTGATTGAAAATCAGACTTTTGAAACTTCATTGGTTTTGTGGATCAATCCTGTGTTTACCTGACGTTGACGTTAGCCGAATGTTGACTGATGGCGTACGCCAAAATAATTGCTCCGCGCGGAAATATAGTTTCAAAATTC